CATATTTATGAAATCATACATGCAGGTATTTCATTGAATATAATAAGACCTGTTTATGTCAGCGCAAGCCCGTAGCTGGCTCTCAATTTCTGGGGGGGGCACTCACTCCAGAAAGAATGTAACCAAACGTTTGAGATGAAAAAAAATTTTTTCCGGAATTTATTCTGGCGACCTCCCCCCCCCCCGTCGCCAAAAAAATTTCGGTCAGTGTACCATTTTAGGGGTCAAAAAATTTTTTCCGACATAACAATTTTTCCAGACATACTCCATTTTTCCGAAATCTAACAAAAATTTTCAAAAATCACAAAATTTTCCACAAAATTTACAGAATTTTTTCCATTATTACAATTGCTTCCCAGGCCCTTTATCTCAATTTTTCATACCCGATTTCCGAGTGGGGGGACACTGGGGGGAACTGTCCCACCGAGTGGGGGGGCACTGCCCCCCCCCAGGCCCCCCCCAGCTACGGGCCTGTGTCAGCGGTAACAAGATAAAGGGCTCTAAAGCCAATGTCTCAATCATGGAAATTAGCCACGCTGAGCCACGGCTAAGCACTTCCCAGAAATATGTTTTGCTCAATTTTTCACATGTCTGTCCTACTATTCTTCCTTTCAGAAATAAATTACTTAAAAGAAAGACAACCACTCGTTAAATACGAACCAACGAGGTCTGTTCTCAAGAAGTATGGAGACGGAGGAGTGGCAATCATTGATCAATGGATATGTGCACACGCTAAGTATTTTGTTGGAACTAAGGAGTCGACGTTTTCTTTTAGAATTCAAGAAGAAAGGGATATCTTAGGTTTTAATGCGGACACAACATTTAACTGCTTGTGTTCTGATAAGGAGATCGGTACATGTGAACAACCGACAAGATGGAGAATTGTGTATTAATATATTTAGTTAGGAATTTAGATGTTGTATTTATAAAACATGGTCATGAAGGAATAGAGTTCTTAATATATGAAAATGTGAATCCATTTTTTTCCCGACGAGACCATGAATATGTAAAATATGAAATTACAATATTTTGACCTTATTCATAAAGCGCAATCAGGACCTCGTATCCTAGGAAACGGGAATAAACGCGGAAAACAAGCGAAAACTGCTTTTTCTCCCGTTTTTTGTGTGGAAAATATGACAATGTAGCGATGGTGTTTATCCAGACGCGAAAAACAGTATTTTACTGAGATTTTAACGTCAATAAACTCAATATAAAATTGTTATTCCGTAAAAAATCAAGACAACTATGGAATAAAAGTATAATTTGACATTATAATAAGCCTAGTACGTTTGTACGGGTTTTATCTTTTGATTTTAGAAAAGCCTCTGACTCGGTCCCGCATGATATCGTAACTGGAAAACTTAAACAAACAAACCTAAATCCTTATATCATCAATTGGATTATAAGTTTTCTGACGAATCGAAAACAAAGGGTCGTGGTTGACGGAATTATAACAAGATATGCAGATATTAACAAGGGAGTGCCACAGGGAACCGTCATTGGCCCGTTTCTATTTTCTCTTATGGTTAATGACATTAAACTCAAACAACCTGAAACTAACGTATTGGTTAAATTTGCTGACGATCTGACAGTTAGTGCACCAGTAAAGTCAAATTGTGATTCTGCAACAATGGAAGTGAGGAACATTAAAAACTGGGCAAGGAGAAACAGAATGACTCTAAATTTATCAAAAACATGGGAGATGCTTCTGAGTGGTGGAACTTCTAAGCCGCCACCAGCGCCTATAGAAGGTATTGAACGCAAGGAATGGCTAAAACTGCTAGGTGTTACTTTCGAGGACGATGTGTGCTGCTGGGACCTGCACGTTGATGGCTTGTTGTCGAAGGCCGGAAGCCGAATGTATATTTTAAGAGTATGTAGAAGGTATGGATATCGGAAGGAACATCTCAGCTATCTTTTTGACTCAATAATACTATCGTTGTTTTTATACGGTATTGAAATTTGGGGCTCAGCTCTTCAAAAGAAATATTTAGAACGCATTGACAAGTTTCTTAAGCGAGCGTATCGATATGGTTATGTACTAAAAGAGTATAAAATATCTGAGCTGATTGAAACGAGAGACAGAATTCTATTCAATAGGATTTTAGATAATCCAGAACATATTTTATATGAACTACTGCCTGAAAAAAGACAAAAAATTTAAGAAAACGTGATCATCCTTTCATCCTACCTCAAGTCAGAACTAAAATATTTAAGCGTTCCTTTGTAAATAGGTGTCTGTTTGACTATTTTTAGTTTTTGTTGCATGCGTATAAATTATCTTAAATTATTACATTAATATTGTAAATATAGTAAATAGTATATTTTAAAATTGTAACAAAAATCATGTAGAGACACACGTCTGTTGTGTCTAAGGATTACCAAAATAAAGATTTTTATTATTATTATTATTATAAAACAAGTTTTATAAAGTTTATAATAGCGACTTGAAGTTATATCGGACACGTTAGATATATCGTACGAATTATTTGGTGTTAAAGAGGATTGTTCAAAGACTCGCTAAGAAGTAAGTTGCCGGGAAAGAACATGTATGTACCATTCATACTTTACTCACGTTCGTTTTATATTTTTATACTTTTAGATCGAATAAAATTATTGAGATATTTAATACGTTCAATTGACTATACGATTCGCGGGTCTTTGACGGTAATATATTGAGTTCTGTCGAACTGAACGGACCAAATATAGTCATGCACGAGTTACTAAAAAATACTTGTTCCATTGTTACTATTGCTGCTGCTGTTGTTATTATTAATACTGTTACTGTTACAAAAAAATAAACATGAACATCATTTTGTCTTCAGTCTTGTAACTTTAACTCTCGCGGCTTTGCAACAACTAGAAAATCATCTGGTTGAACGATGAGTTGTGGTGTGGACACTTTAGTAGTTGGCACCTCTGCTCCTTCAGGCAACTCAATCTTGTAACGATGTAATAATATTGAAGCAAATGACAACATCATTACCCTCGCCAAAGATTGACCAGGACATTCTCTACGACCAACGCTAAACGGCATGAATCCATGTAGTTTATTCCAGCCGACGAACTTGCCATCCTCATCCAGAAATCTTTCAGGTTTAAATTTCTCCGGTTCTGGCCATTCTCGTTCATCTTTATGCAACTTTGTGAGATTCAAGCCGACAAATGTTCCTTTTGGAATGGGGTAGCCAGCAATGGTTGTGTCACGAATCGTATTTGTTCCGACGACCGTCGTCATGCCTGATGCCCTTCCGACTTCACATAATGTAGCTTGAAGGTATGGGAAGCTTTTCGCATCTTTCCAGTTCGGTAGACGATCACGTCCCACAACTTCGTCCAATTCTTCGTGTATTTTGCTTTGCACATTGGGATATAAGACCATATAAAGAAAAAACCAAGTTAGCCATGTTGAAGTAGTTGATGATCCCACATAAATTACATTCAGCATCAAGCCTGGAATACTATCTTTCGAGCCAATATCTTTCCTTGTCTCTTTGGCAAGTTCCTTTTCATAAGCACTGATGAAGCTGTCTGTGAGATCTCGTATTGTGCCTGGAATATAACTCTCTTGGTGTGCTCGATATTCCATGGGGAAAATTGTTTCCCTAATCTGTACTGCTCGCTTTATTTCCCGAGTAAGTTGCGTGGGTAAGTAACATAGGAACGGAAACAACTGATACATTGTACTAAGTAGCGCTTGTCTGCTGAAAATCGCGTTAAATTCGTTGCTTTCCTTCACAATTGGGTCGTCTAGCGCTATCTTTTTCGCTGTAAGCCATTCCCAAAGTTGTACCACTATGGAGGATTCGAGGAGATTTTTAGGTGAAAAGGATTTCCCTGGTTCATTTTCGATTTCTTCCATTGCGATGTCAACAGCGTGACCAGCACGGACCGATGCTTGCCCTATCCCAGCGCCAAAAATATGCATTGCTGATACGAACACTTTCTTCTCAAAAAGATATGCGTCTGAGTAATCACGTGCGGAGAAAGTACCGCCCACTATCTCTTTAAGAGGATATATAGACTCCGGTGATTTTCCCATAAGATCTTCTTGTCTCCCGGGGGCAAGCCTTGCTTCACGCACTAGAGATGCTGTATTCAGGATAACCGCGTTGCCGCTTGGAAAAGTGACAGTGAAAATGTCTCCATATTTCTCAGATAGTTTATCAAATGGTCTGATAGGATCTGCAGAGATGATTTGGGGAATGTTTCCAAGGAACGGATAGGGAACTGGTCCGGGGGGCATGTTCTTTCTTTTCATATAGGTAGTGATAAAGTACCAAATAAACCAAACGAGAAACAGAGTGACAATAACCTCGATAATCATCATGTACCTGTAAACACAAATTTTCTTTCTTTATTATAACGTTATTGATTTATTGAAGTAAATCTTCAAGAAATGGAGTAAAATTTGAAAGAAAGATATGCATACTATGATATATTGTTCGCGCTCATCGAAATATGAGAGAAGTATTCTTTCTAGACATTAGCAAATTGGCTGATGGCAAGGCTAAAAGTTGTGGCTAGAAATTCCCTGACGACAAGGTGATGCTAGAAATAAAGAGCATCAGCCATATTTTCGTTTCATAACTTTTTGTTTGTTATGTAGTCATTTTCAAATTTGCAGGAATCCTGCAACAGTGACATCACTGCTACTAGTGATAACGAACCCAGGCCCAATACGTCAAGAGGTAGCGTTGGACCTACTGTACACGGGCGTGGAAAAGCTACTGGGCGTAGACGTGGTACGAATGCTAATGGTACGCAAGCTCAGGAGCTAGAATGCTCATGGAAGTCACTTTAAGTGGATACCTGCTACTGGTAGACACCAAAATCAAAATGCTGATACACCATTTTCGACTTTCGGTAGTTTGGATCAGATACGAATGTTCACTGTTTACTGTAAACTCTGCTTTCAAAGAGCGAAATTTGAGGCTGGACCTACACAAAGATTAGTTGGTTTGACTGAACCATTGAAGTCCACCTTATCACACAACCCGCACACCCGATCACCTATATATACATGAACTTACGGTTACAGCTCAATAGGTGGCCTGTGTGCGCTGCACCGGAATCGCAGGGCCGTAGATTAAATTCCTAGCAAAGGACCTTATGCTGCATTTTTTGTTGTCGTTCCTGGTCAGGTCGTGAAGTGTATATTACTCGCTTAGAGTACAAACCCAAAAAACAGCATTCTACTTGGTTTGACTAAGTCTATCAGCACTTTTTGGCTTTTCTCACTATGAACCTAGTGAATGAGCTAGTAACACAAACAACTTTGTATCAGGATCAAAAGTGTCCTGGTGGCAATGACAACTTCACACCAGTTTGTGCTGAAGAAATTTTAGCAAAAATTGGAGTTGTTATTGTCATATATGGGGTTGTACAAACTGCCCAAACTTGACGACTATTGGAAGAGAAATGGAATATCACATATGCCTTAGCTTGGGTCTCGTCAATATTTTCTTGTACAAGATTCACAGCACTAATTAAGAAGGTATTTCCATTTGAGAGACAACACAAAAAGACCAGATAAAAATCACAAGGACAATAAACTGTATCAAGTGATCCCAATCATATCCTGTTTGACAAAAAGATTTGGAAGTTTATACGTGCCGGCATATCCCAGAATGTAAGCATTGAGGAAATCCTTCTTGGAATTAAATGTCGGGTGTCGTTTACTCAATATATGCCAAAAAAGGCCAAACGATTTGGCATAAAATTATGGGCTTCGTGTGAGGCTAAGACAGGTTACTAATTCTGTGCATTTCAAGTATACATTGGTAGGGAAGTACCCTGGTTCCAGAGGTTTAAAATAAACCTCTGGTTGAAAGTGGCAATTGATTCATCGAGCCGCGCCAATCAGTTTGAATTAGGGTCAGATCCTGACTCTGTCTCCTGATTGGATGATTGTATTAAAGCTCTCTGATTGGTTATAGATGTTTTATTTTAATCAATCAGAGAGCTTAACACAATCATCCAATCAGGAGACAGAGTCAGGATCTGATCCTAATTCAAACTGATTGGCGCGGCTCGACGAATCAAGTGCCGCTTTCAACCAGAGGTTTATTTTTTCTCTCCCCTTCGCAATGAAAATAAATAAAAATAAACCTCTGGAACCAGGGTAGTAGGGAAGATGTTGCCAGACCTGAATTAGGACTGTCATACAGAGTTGTGTTTGATCTCATGAAAAACTATCTCGACAAAGGTTATAGACTTTTCATCGATAACTTCTATACTTCTGTACATTAATTGGTCTTTGATTTGTTAATTTGAAGGTGTTAAAATAACACCAAAAATGGTGTTAAATAAAAAGGTACAAAATAACACCTTTTTGGGTGCTATTTTAACACCACGTTGTAGGGTGTCAAATTAGCACCTGCAAAGGTGTTAAAATAACTCCATTTTTAGTGTCATAATAGCACCCTTTTCGGTGTTGTTTTAGCACTCTAACCTTAGTGTTAAAATAACACTCAATTTTAGTGTTATTTTAGCATTGCCGAATATTAAAAATGTATATCCCTTCTATCCAACACACAAAACAATTAATAAAATAATCTGTTGAAAAATTTATTTACATTATACTTTACAGCATTACTTATCTATGTCATATATGAAGTTTATAGTAAATTCAGAGTTATTGCACCTAAGGTTTACACTATATAGAAACGTTCACAGAAATAGACCATGATTGTGACGCCATAACTCTCCTCGTACTACACTCTAGTCATTAAAGATAAGGACAATACCGTAAACTTCCAACTATAAGCCCTGGGCTTACATTCTTTCGTAAGCGATTTTTGATGGGCGTATACATGGACAATCTTTTGTGTTAGTTTAATAGCAATAAACAAGTATAGTAATAGTGATAAACAAGTGTTAAACAAGCATAGTAATAATAATGATAAATAGTTGTAATAGTGATAAACAAGTGGGCTTATTTATATTTGGGTGGGCTTATATTCAGGGGGGGGGCTTATATTTGGAATGAGGTGAGCGTTAGTACATGTGGTGGGCTTATACGTGGGGGGGGGACTTATACATGGGGGGCTTATATTTGGAGATTTACGGTATATCCTGCATGTACAATACATGCATTACATTAATGATATAATATCATCATTATCATAAATTGTGCATTATCATAAACTGCAGGTTGTTGGCTATATTGCACAATTTGAATTTTTCACAAACATTCCCTCTGCAATCAATGAAATCAAACTTATCTCTTCCAGAGGTCCAGTACCAATAGACAAGGGGTTGAGATCCTGATAAAAGGGTTTGAGCATCCTCTACACAAAAAGATTTAAACATAGAATAAATTTCTGTACAGTATACATACACATATATAGATTAAGTTCTTTCAATTAAGTATCTTAATCTATGTTAATTGTTTAATCCATGTCCATAATATAAACACACAGATACTAAACAATTGTTTCTTCAAAACCTGTAATCACTGTAATCAATCATACAGCAAAGTAGACTATTCACTAGCTACAGTTGCAAACAGTAGATTGTTTAACTACCTGAAAAAATAAGAATTTCTTTGAATGATTTTCTTATTTTTCAATCAGTAATTAAACAACCTACTTTTGAAAATACTTCTCACAATTACATACTTTGATTCAGTTGGATCATTTCAATAGTTTATATCCGTCACAATCCAAATGAAAGTTTATGTTACCGGTGAAGATAATTTGTAACCAATAGAATCTTTGCTGAATGGTACTCTAACCCATTAAGCGGGAGCCCTCTCCCCTTGACAAGTAAAATTGTCTGGTGTTAGACAAAGTAAAATAATAAAGTAGGGTGCAATTTATGTGGCATAGTTGACATGAAGGGGGTAACTAGGCACATGGGCAGATATGACAGTTAACCCATTAGCACCAGCTCTCTCCCCTTGATAAGTAAAATCATCTGGGATCAGACAGAGTTAAATAGTCTGGCATTAAATAAAGTAAAATAATAAAGTAGGGCATATCAGGGCATAATGCAACTCAATTTGTAATTTTCTGTGGTGAGTCGGCTAGATACTGTAATTCATTGTCAATTAATAATTTAACGTCAATTATTGATCATTTATTGGCATTAATTGTCAAATTGCCACAAGATAACAGAGATAAGTTTACATAAAACCCACCCACTTATAATGTCGATTCGATGTTGTTGTGGCAACATGAATATGGACGTGGCCCCTTAAACAGTTTCTTTATGCATAAAATTGTGAGCCTGGAAATTCTCAGAAACGTATAAACAATAGTATGAGGGACTCAGACATGTATCCTCAATATATTCAGGGAATTTAGGAACATTCTACCTGGGTTGTCTGGATATTAAGGTTACAGAACACCTTTGAGTGTTAATTTTGCCTAAAAATTTTTTATTGGTTTCCATGAAAGCATTAGACTAGTTCTACTATCTGACCAAGTTTGAACGGAAAATGTTGAAAACTCGCAGAGTTATTTAATAAAATACATTTCGCTGCAATAAGAAAAACATTGAAAATGTAATACTCAAATTCAATTTTCTCCCGAAAAATTTGACGGTAATTACTGATTTTCAAACGAGTTATGCTCCCGCGGGTTTTAACCAATTTTTCTCAAATTTTCACAGGACATAGCTAAAGACGTCAGTTTCAAAACTGTGTTCGGCTTTTTTTTAATTTTGGATAATTTAAAAATAAAGAGCAATTTACTAAAACAATTCAGAAATATATTGCAGTCGTCAAAGAAATCGCCATATCAGCGGAATGACGAAATAAACAAAAATTTCCGAACACAATTTTTTAGAACAACTATTTTACTGTATAAAAATGATATTTTCATAAACATAACTTAAAACTAGCAGGAGCATAACTCAAAAGCGTAACGGTACCGCGATTTAAGATTTTCCTGAATAATTCTTACATTATTTTATTGTTTGTTAATTTTACAACTTTACCATATTTTGCATGCACTGGAGAACATTTGGTGAAAATTTGATGAAAATCGGACTGATATTGAGCGCGCAGTAGCGATTTTCCGCAAAACGCCAAAAAAGGTATCCTGTAACCTTAAATCCTTATCCTTAAATCCTGTATCCTTAAATAGAAATACAGCTATTTACTATGATAGTACAATATAGATAACACAAAGGAAGGATTGTTCTGCTCTTAGGCCCCATTTACATGAAACCAGGATGAAGTCAAACTGGAAGGAAAATTGAAATTGTCAACATGTTTACATGAGATCAGTACAAAAATCACAAAATTTTCAATTTATTCCCCTTGTTAAGCAATTTTCTTGTTCAGATGGCTTTTGTTGGCATATGTTGTTCCAATATCAAGGTTACAGCCAAGACCGGTCTGAAATGTATTTGTGTTTACATTCATGCCGGTCTGAATTCATGCCAGTCTAAAGTCAATCGGCTTGATCCAGCCGGCAGAATGACTTGAGACTGGTCTGTTCGAGTTATTTTCATCCTGGTCGCTTGTGAACATCTATTATAGATCATACTATGAGCAAAACAAAATGGTCCCGGTTTGACTTTGTTGTGGTCTCATGTAAACAGGGCCTAATACAAAGCCATAGAACTTGCTTTGGAGATTATACTGGCCTCTGTAGCTCAGTTGGTTAGAGCGCTGCACCCGAATCGCAGGGCCGTAGGTTCAATTCCTACCAGAGGACCTTGTGCTGCATTTTTCGCAGTCGTTCCTGGTTAGGTCTTAAAATGTCTATATTCTCACTTGGATTACAAACCCTTACATTCTAAATTAATTCCACCAAGTGAAGTGCAAGAAACCATCATTGAAGTCCACCTTATCACAACCCGCACACCCGATTACCTATATATACATGAACTTACGGTTACAGCTTAACAGCTGGCCTCTGTAGCTCAGTGGTTAGAGCGCTGCACCGGAATCGCAGGGCCGTAGGTTCAATTCCTACCAGAGGACCTTGTGCTGCATTTTTCGCAGTCGTTCCTGGTTAGGTCTTAAAATGTATATAGTCTCACTTGGATTACACACCCTTACATTCTAAATCAATATTAATAGCCATTGAGTCAACATTGATATCCTCTCAATAGATCAATACATTAACAAATATAAATGTTTATATTGTTAACTTTAATATATTGATCACTATTGAAAGGGTATCAATATTAACTCATTTAGCTAATATTTATCTAATCGCCAAAGCAAGTTCCATGGCTTTGTATGAGCGAACAATCCTTCCTTTGTGGGCCCTTGTAAATATAATTCAAGTATATTTCATACCTTCTTGTAGCCTGTATATATCATGATTTCGACCGTTCGACTTGCTTAGAACACATACTATGACAGTATTTATTGCTTGAAATTATAACCTGTCAATACAAAGCAATATCACTAAGTTTTAATGTATTTTAATAACAATATATTGTTGAACCAAATACAAAATACAGTGCGGCCAACGGCAATGGCGGTTAAAATATACATGAATATATTACTATTTATGGCACATATTTACACACGAACCTTAAAAATATTGACATAGTTGAGCACTTACATTTACAATTATTGTCTGAATCTTCAAACAATGTTGTATTTCTTCTTATTTTCTACTATAATTTAAGAAATCTTGGCTTTATCAACCGACGTTAAATTAAAATTTTCAAACGACGCGCTAGAAATGTGCTCTCGCTAAGCCACAGAATAGGAAGTTATACCAGAAGCGTAACTCTAGTCGTTTCCCTTATTGTTTGACGTCCACGAAAATTTTAACTTGCTCACGTCAGGCCACGCCATCCTGGCTAGTACAGCCGGAAGTTTTTATCAGGATTTGGTAGGTACAAAGTGCCGGTTGTACTAGCCAGGATGGCGTGATTGATGACGAATCGCTTGTAAAAACGCGGACAAATATTTGCTCGAGTTACGCTTCTGGTATAACTTCCTATTCTGTGGCTAAGCCTTCTGGGAGGCCCTTCTGAAGGCACTGATCTCAATCATGTGAGCAATCCAGTGCAAATAAACCTACATTTCTAAGGTTTTTTTGACAGGGACTCTTAACTTTAAAATTCTAGCTGTCTTGTTATATCTCCCTTGCATGAACATATTTTGTCATCACCACACAATTTCTTTTCACTGCATATTTTTATTGCCGGTTTATCACTGCACACTTTCCTGACATCACTAACACCAAAATGACAGATTGCTTCGATTATTTTTTATTAGTTTTTTAATGAGGCCCTACAAGGATTACATTAAAAGCGATAATATGTAAAAATATGATCCTTTGCCCCATTTACTTGTCTGAAAAACGTAAACCGCTCCTACGTGGTCCGCCACTTTGAATCTGAAAACCGGTTCACGAGGTGCTATTTTGACACTAAGTTTAACTCTCAAAACGGTGCTACTTTAACACTTTCACTCAATAGAATGGGTGTTATTTTAACACCCTAGAAAAGTGTTAAATATCTATGGTGCTAATTTAGCACTTCAAAATCAATTCCCAACTTCATGGTGTTAATTCAGCATCCAAATTGGTGTTAGATTAACACTTTTTATTTAACACCACCACAAGGTGTCATTTTAACACCTACGAAGGTGCTATTTTAACACCTTCAAATTTACAGTGATATATACAGAGACTTACATATGTCTGTGGTACACTGAGATCAAATAGGAAAAATTTACCCCCTAATTCAACTGAAAGAAAAACTGGAAACTGGTGAAGCAAAATTTTGGCGTTGTGACAGGAATTTATACCTGATTGTGTTAATCTTCAACCCATAAATCACCCTGTATTAAATTGGAGAGAGAGGAAACGTATTCGCATGATTTCAAAACTCGGCTCATATTTTCTGAATCAATAATCATAAATAAACTTTCATTTGATCGTAAATAAACTTTTTAAAGGTATTTCTGAGAAGAAAAATGCTTGAAAAATAAAATTTAACCATCGTCAGTTTAGTTTTTAATTTCATCTGTCCAGGGAGTGAAAACTACTACTAAAAGTTAAATTTCGTCAATATTTCGTCGTAGAAATAAATAGTTTATATAATTGCCCGATTTCAGTTTATAGTCTGTTATCCAGGACATTTTTCAATAGCCTTTGACTAATCAACGAACTTAAATTCTTGCACATCCACGGTTCCTTCCCAAACGAGAAGCCCAAAAAGATGTTTTTGCTCATTTTATTTTTAATAATTTAAAACTAACTTTTTGCTAGCGCCCGCAATTTACTGACCAGCGACAGCAAATTTCCCACCTATTAATCGACTTATAGTGATGGAGTAGCATAGCCTGTTGACAAAGAATCGAGATTTATATACGAGACTGTGTCCACAATAATCATCAAGATATCAAAAGAGATTAACACTAAAGAATAATGGCAGTTAACGAACGTCAACTGTCAATCGGGGTCATTGAATGACAAGGCTGTCGAGGCATGTATTTGTGTACATTATATTGGGATAGGTTTTCTCTTGACTTTTTAAATAAATCTTCAAATTAAAATAAAGCGATGTTCGATGATTTGTTGACTATAATGGACGTCTTTATACATGATGCAAATTTATAACTTGTCTTGTTTATATTCAGCTAGAAATGTTTATTATTTATACAATACTGTCCATGTACATAACGGGAATACATGCCTGTATCACAGTGTCAGTGCTTTTCCCCCAAAGACTAACAGACAACTGAACAGTAAAGGTCAAACGAGTGTTTATCACTGTTCTAGGTCGAAATATTAAGTAAAATTTCGCTGTTTGAAAGCAGACTTTACAGTAAACGGTAAACATTATTATTTGATCCAAACTACCGAAAGTCGAAAATGTTGTTTTTTTGTCGGCCTGTACTCTGTAGTAGCCCCTTAATACACAGGCTGCAATATTTTATTTTACATTATACAAATAATATTACATTCATGGCATGTCTAACTTTTGAATTTTAGGGTTTTTATTTCACCCATTTTTGAGGAACTAGGAAATCTCTATTTTAGTCTAGCTGTCATGAATGATGTCATTTCTATATTTTGAAAGCATATTTGAAAAATGTATGGATACCTTGTCACTTAAGAGATATAAAGCTACTATTGTGTGGAAAGATTTAGTTGTATCATTATTTTTGTTTGATGTACAGAGGTTTAAAAATCAGTAAAAATCCAGTACTGAGAAACAGCAATAATCATAATTTTAGCCCTCAGCTTGACCCCCTGGAACTTTGCCAAAATGCAATTTGATGTTGCCTATGATGTGCATGATCTATGACGAAAGGCCTTAGCTCGAAACGTAGACGTTCTGTTCATATTTTTTCTCTCTCACATATTGCAGCTTTCTATGTCTTGGTTATCATATATATAAGCAACCCGCCCTGTCAATATCATTCCATTTGAAAAGAAACCGAATTGATTGAAGAAAACCCACGAATTTTGATAGTGTCTCAGCTCGAGTCTCTCGACTTGACTGCTGAACTGAACCGAACATTGAACATTTTTTTAATACTTGACCGATTTAATATGATGCATTTGAATAGCTGCATGGTAGAAGCAACGATACAGTCCCCGCAGAAGATTACACAGACGATACACATACATGCACAAGATACGGCCGACACATTAAACGCACGCCAACTCCGATATTGGCAAACCAAATGAACTGAATTGCTTATTACAGTTTCAGAAATATACATGGTTGTTGAGACTACTGATTATTATGGCAGGATTTCATTAATTCACGATAGCAAGCTTCAATCAACTGATTGCACATATATCCTTTGATCGTTAATTTACCAAATAAACTGACTTGCCGTTTGAGCGAAACCTCTGATCATTTTCATGCACTCTATAATACTCCCTGCACGCATGCGACTAATATTCTACATGAGAGTTTTCTTGATATCTCCAGCATGACTACCTTAAATCAACTGTCGATATATGCATACATATATTTGAATGATATATTAAACAGAAAATCAGCAAATGAACAGCTGGCTTGCTTCAAGCTTCATGCGCAGCAAAAACTTAATTTGTTGGACAGAATATCAGTTACTCTCTATGGCTGTATGGATAATAGGCCTACAACAAAGTCGGGGGTTTGTTATTATTTAGCTAAAATTAATATAGCAATCTTAATTCATTGAATGTCTATGCATGCTTTGATCATTAGCGAACAAAGTAAATGAAGTTCTTACCGTTTCAACAGACAAAATCTGCGGTTGATAGAATGCAGTTACGATGACAAGTGTACGTGGAACTATTCTGGAGTTAAATGAATGTTTGCGAGTGCAATTAAGCTCAGTTTCAATCAATTGTGTATGTATATTTTGAACAACAGTGCCCGTGTTCACAGACCATAAAAGCAATCGATTTCAAAATAAATAAATAACGCAGAACACGAATATATGAATATGAGGCCCCCCAATTATCGAGCTTGCTACGGCACTGGACAAACAAGTGGATTTTGTACGGTTGACCACTTTTAAATTATTGCGAGGAATGTGGTTATGTATCTTATCACATCTTGTTGAATCATTTCACATTTAGTTGAATGATTTCACATTTAGTTGAGTAGGCCTACTCTGGGGCGGTAAATCGCCTTAAATCGCCTAAAATCGCCCAAAATCGCGGGTTAAAATGGTCAAATTTCTCTTAAATCGCCTAAAATCGCTGTAAATCGCCTAAAATCGCTTAAAATCATGGGCGTAATGGGTGGGTGGGGGACGAGGCGACCGCCCCCCACCCAGTTTCTGGCTGGGCGGTCGCCCCCTGGCTTTGTAGGGGCAAACAAAGCCAGCCGGGCAATATTCGCTTCACAGTCGGGCAATATTGGTTTATTATAGAAATAAATGGGACAAATTCTGTCAATTTTGTGGGAAATTCTGTCAATTATGTGGGAAATATGCTATCTAATAGCATTTTTTTGTAATCACTTCTCCCCCCCCCCCAATCACTTCTTTCCAACCCCCTAATATTTTCCTTCCCGTACGCCCATGCTTAAAATCGCATTAAGAGCGACTGTCCGTAAAAATCGAGCAAAATTTGAATTCTGCGGCAATACACGAAAAATGGATTTCGTTCATATTTTGCTCAAATTAAGGTAATACCTAGTTATAAATGGTGTTTGGGTTAGATTTTCAATATTTGGTCGATAAACGTACAAATATCAGAAATCAAGAATTTGTCTCCAGGAGGCTATAATTAGCCGCAGACAAAGCCGCTGCCATGGTCAGTTTCATCACTTCGCGACGGATTTAAAACTGCCCGTAGATAGTTTTGATGGTATAATGACTATAACTCAAGTATTAAAGAACAATTTTATCAATATGGAATGGCCCAGGAGGCTTTAGCTGGCCTGACAGACGTTGTTGAAATTGGCTATTTTTAGTCAAATTTGAGAATTGCATTTTGTCACTGGATTTGAAGGGGAAATTTACTATGTGTGATAATCGTGAATTTGTTTATATTTCATCCACGGAATG